GGTACCCCCCTAAAAAAACCTCAAAATTTTAACAATTTTATATGCTATGTTGGTTTATCCAGAATTCTCCAGCCTGCTTTCAGCAAGAACACTATTAGGTCATTTTACCTAGAACATCCCCTTACTTAGCACTGAGGTGTCCTTCTAGTAATTTTCATCCTCATTTACCCCTCCCACCTACCACCCTCCCTTCTTAGCTATACATTCTTCCTTTTCCTTGTATTGGAAGTTGTGCCCACTCTCTGTCCCCTATTGCAAAATCCTATTGCAGTGGTTTCAATGGCATTGTGACAGCCCTGCATAAAATTAGTATTACTGTGCTTTAGCAAGTGGCACTGAAAAATTTTTTTTCTTTAATGTTACCTCTATATATAGGAGCATTGTCTCAGTAGAACCCCCTTTCCCCACATTTTTGTCCTGTGTCTACACGTGGAGAGCCACATTTGAGATGGACAATAAAGATAATGAGTTATTAAGACAGACCAGGAAAGGGATGTGAATAAGCAAAAGGGAAATCAAAGATGAAATCATTATACCACCTGCTGGAAAGTGCAGGGTCCCGAGTTTGATCCCCAGTACCATAAAAAAAAAGATGAAATCATTAAGTGTTACAGTTGAATGGGACAAAATAGTCCAGGTTCTTGTGTACAATAAGAAAAGAATCGCCAAGTGTACACCTTGTAGTAAGCAGTAAGTAGCTATGTTTATTGAAGATCACAGGAACAAGCAGACCAGCAAGAACAGCCAGAAGGGCAGAAGGGCTAATGGGCTAATGGGCTAATGGGCAAAAGGGCAAGAGGGCAAAAGGGCAAAAGGGCAAAAGGGCAAAAGGGCAAAAGGGCAAAAGGGCAAAAGGGCAAAAGGGCAAAAGGGCAAAAGGGCAAAAGGAGGAGGAAGAGGAGAAACCCTTGATGGGCTTCAATACAACTCAGCTTCCAGTATTTAAAGGGTCAGACACCTCTAACTCCAGGTGCCTCCCATTGTGGTCAGGCACCTCTGATTCCAGGTGGCTCTCGTTCCCTCTCTCACTGGTGTCAGAACTAATGGTCTGCCGCCTTGGGCATCCCAACCTCCTAAGCTTCAACATGGATAATCACCAGAGATATGTCCCGCCTACAGCTGAATGAAAGTAGTGGCTCTTTCAATTTCCTCATTTCTGACTGTATCAAAAGCACTATAATTTACCGTAAATATGGAGAAAAAGCCCAAGAATGAGGCTACAGAAAAGATGAGGCAGAAATGTTGCAGGGTGGGTGAGGAGTTGTGAATAGAGAATATGGTATGATCATGGAAACCAAGAGAGAGAAAGAAGTTCAGGTGAAGGATGTGAAATGATACAGAGAAGTCAAGTTACTCAAGGATTTAAAAAGATCTATTAAACACAGAAACAAGGAGACCTCATTATAATCTATTAAATATTTTGAGATTTTTAATATCTTAGAAGATAAAGATTGATGATAAACAGAGTGTGGTGCCACACATTTGTAATCCCAGAACTCTGGGAAGCTAAGGCAGGAGGATAGCAAGTCTGAACCTAGGCTGGGCAATTTAGAGTTGGTGAGTCCCTGGCTCAAAATAAAAAATACAGTGGACCCTCAAGTTATAACCCGCCTGACATTTGAACAATTTAGGTTAATTAGGTTAATGTAAGAATCATCTGCCTCTTGTTATCTATAGCATGTTCCCAGGAAGACATGAACGTCTCAGCTGTATTGACTTAGTTACAATCAGCCATCAGGAACCAATCAAGTTTGTAAGTCAAGGATCCACTGTACTACAATTCTCTTAATAACATTAGGTATATATATATTCAGAGGATCAGCATACTTGGAAGTAATGGAAATAAGCTGTTTTCTCGTTGTTTGGTTATCTTATTTTCTTATTAAACCTTTTCAGGAAAAATGAATTATTTTAGCACTCCATGAAATAAAAGAAAATCTTTTCTATTATTAACATTCATTTTATTTATTTACTACATTAGTTTCATGAACATCATTTTCTTCAACAATTCTTCCTTTTACCCCCTCCCTCCTTTCTTCATGGGAACAGTCAGTCAAGCAAGTGTTATGAAGTATAAATACATGTAGCACTAAACTGAAGAATAACATTTAGAGTTACTTCATGTTTATGGATCTACACCTTTTAAAAATTTAATTAATTGGGGCCGGGGATTTAGCTCAGTGGTTCTACCGCCTGCCTGGCAAGTGGAAGGTCCTGAATTCTATCCCCGGTACCAAAAAAAAAAAAAAAAATTTAACTCTCTTTTGTAGCTTTCTGAAATAATGTTGAACTAGAACTCAAAGAAAAAGTCTGGTCTGATTAGTGTCATAAGGAGATTCAAACTTCAGAAATAACTGTAAATATTTGTTTAAAGAAGAAATATTTTATGAGTTCAAAGTATGGATCAAAGAACAGAGACAATATAGATTAAGAAACCAGTGTTTGTATAAAAATGCAGACATTTGTGTAATAATTCAGCAATATTAAACTCAGTTATGCTTCCTTTATTGTACTGCAGTTATCATAACCATTTACAATTATTGGTACTTCAAATAACTGAGATAAATACTGTAATTATGTAGACTTCGTTACTTGAATATTTAAGAAACAATTTTCTTCACAGTTGTAAAATTTTATATTCTTGTTTTAATTTTTCTTTTCCTGATTCAGTTTTAGATTCCGAAAATATTACATTATTTCACTATAACTTGGAGCTATATTGCTAAATATGTAAATTATATAAATTTTTAAAAACAAGGCCAAAGTGTATTTTTACTTTGATTTATAGTACAATTAATATTTAGACACCACGTTTCTTTCCTTTATGTAATTTTGGTGTCATCTTTTCCTACATCATTACATTTGACACAAGGTGATTCTTGCTTTATGGCTGGAATAAGGACATATACAACTTTCAATTTTATTGTAATAAACATTAAGATTTATGAACATTAAACACAAAACCATGTAAGATTCGAGAGATCCAAACTAGAGGAACAGCAGTTTCAAGGGTGAAAAGCTCTTCTGTTCTGTGATGGCAACTGACCAGGGGCTCTTCAGGTAGGAGAGTGCAATAGCTGGATGGCTTGGTGTGGTTTACACCCTCCATGGCTGTACTCAAGCTACCGGAAGGTCCGGTAAGAATTAACAAGTGATACAAATTAAACCAAGGGTGAGGGGACTATAGTAAAATACATTTGCTTACAAATAACATTTTCATGGTTACAGCCATGGAGACATTGAATAATTTAACATAATATTAGTGGGGAGGGGGAGGGAATATGAGATGTTGGCAAAATTTGCAAAATCAACAACCAAATTAAAATTAAAAATGTGCATTAAAAAATTTTATGAACACCTGAGTACTTCAGTAAGTGCTTAATCATTGGCAGAACAGCATTCCTTGGATCAGGAAATAAGGGAATTAGGATTATGTGTGACCCTGCACAAGGTAATTTATTAATAGCCTCAGGGAGTGAGCGACACCACCTTTAAACCTTACATTTTCCTCGTCTGCAAATTCTCTTTTTATCTTCCCGCTGTGAAATTCGCGACGTGAGGCTAAGAAAGGGCAAATTAGTAAAAGGAAATCCGAGGTTTTTAGAGTCCAGTGCTGTGGAATAAAAGGCAGTCATCTGAAAAAGACATTCATAAAACTTCCTCTAAATTCGCAATGGTACAGTTTATTAAAGACCTAGCCCTGGAAAGAGGTTCCATCTAGAAGTTATTTTAGCAATCAGCAACAATTTCTCTATTTGAAATGTAACGCATAATTATTCTGCTTACGCAAAACAATGACAGATATGCTAATGAGCAGGTTACAGTCTCAAACTGTGTTAAGTGGTTTTTCAAATAACGAGGCACGGAGTAGACCCGTGGGCCTCTATATGCCCGGATCTTCGCGCACGAAAGCATTGCAGGTAAGACCTCTTCTTTTCCTTTCCTATTTGCAAAGAGAAGCAGGCCAGACACTTTCATGTGATGAGAATGACGTCAGCCTCCACTGGGTCGCGTGACCGGCACCCAACCTTCCCGCTTCTCCGCCCCTGGCGGGAAATCTCGCGAGAATGAGGCTTACTATCAGAACTTCCCGGGGTTTGGGGGAGTTACTCCGAGAGCAGGAAGGTGTGGCGCTCTGGCAGGGTGCTCTCCGGCCTGCTGCAGACTCGAGGCCAGGCAGAGGCCTGTGGGGATGGCCAGGGTCTGAACAGCGCTCCCAGAACACAGCGGGGCAGGTGGCCCGTGGTCGGCAGCAAAGCTGAAGTGAAACGTGGCGCGCGCCGCCCTCGTCCCTTCGTCCCGGGTCGCTGGTCGCCCGCGTCCGCCCTCGGTGGCGAGCCAGTCTGGGCCTCCCGTGTGGCGCGTTCTCCCGCCCCTTCAGCCGGGGCTCGCGCTGAACGCGCTTCGCAGGTGTAATCGAGTCTCTCGAGAGCCTCGCTCCACTCTCTGCTCTTTCCAGGCGTCCCCCGCACCCTCCTCCCACCTGGTGTCCCAGTGGATCGCGTGCGCCAGTCGAGATCAAGGAGGCAGGGACGCGGCCAGAGTCGCTAGAGGGAGGTGTGGGGCAGCGGGGAAGGGGCTTCGGGAACGGGCGGAGGGAGGGGCCCGGCGGGGAGGCGGTGCCGGGGGCGGAGACGGAACGGCTGGGCAGTCGGGGCTCAGCACTCTTCGTTCGCAGAGTCCCCAGCCCGCGGGCTCTTGGACAGCGAAGTCTCTGCGCCGCGCTCGCGACAGCTGCCTCGGGCTGGGGCTGTGCGCCCCGGCTCCTCTCGCCCTGCCGCGGATCGTTTTGCTACCGCGCGACCAGCACCCAGCCGGGTCTCTTCCCGCCCGGCCCACTTTTCTCTTCCGGAAGACTTTGCCTCTGACATTTTGGGAGAGGGGCTGGAAAGGGGCCGCAGAGATCGTCTGGAAACCGAGGAGGCGAGCCAGGCCCACTGGCGGAGGAGGAGACCCGCGCCGCCCTCCGGTCAGCTCCGCGCGCCCCGCCCCTGCGTGCCCTTCTCGCCGGTGAGCGAGCAAGAGACTTTGGGACTAGGAAAGTGAGCGGGCCTGGGTGACAACGCCGCGGGGCCGGTCCCGGGGAAGCCGCACACCTGCCCCAACGCCCGCCGAGGATGGCCTCCACCGCCACCTGCACCAGGTTCACCGACGAGTACCAGCTTTTCGAGGAGCTCGGAAAGTAAGCGCCCTTGCGCGTCCCCTTCTAGCAGAGGGCGGGTCTAGTCTTCCCCAAACCGCCGGCCAGTGGCGCGGCGCTAGGGAATTGGGGGTACGGTTTAGGGGCTGGATCCCCGGTTAGTCCCTCTGGGGAAGGCACTGTCTCCGGAAGGGGAGGGGACTAAGTACTAACGCCTCTGCGCTAGAATCCCCAGCCCCTCTCCCGTCCCCCCATCCCTGCCCAAAAGACTTGGTGAATTACGGTCTCTGCAGTTGTAGCTGTCACCCTGCAAAGTGTGCTGCTTGTGTTCGCGCACGGGGCTGTGCGGGTGGAGAGGAAACGAGAGCCACATAGATCACATTTTCTGTAAATAGAGATGCCTCCTGGTCTGACCCGCGCACTGATAAGCACCCGTTGCCACCGACGGTGCCATTTTTATTGATGCCGAAAGTTCAACTTGTCTTGGTGGAGAGTCACTTTCACATCCTCTAGTTGTTCTGTCCAGGAAAAGGGCCACCCGACCGAACCCACCCTCCTGCCCCATATCCGCTATTATTCTAAGCACAAGATTACTCCCTCACCGTCGTTCTTCCTGGGATTTGAGAGTGCGTCTTTGCGCTCCCTGCGAGGATTTGTTTCTCCAGGCAGCAGAAAAGCCCTCTGGAGACCAGGAGAGCACTGCCCAAGGGTAGCCTAACTTGTAACCATCTCTTGCGCTCAAGTGGCAGAACTGTTTGGAGATGTCACGGAGGGGGACCAGATATCCACTGAAGACATGTGCCTAGGGACTAGGAGCCAAGCCCTGAGTGTTGATTTATGTAGCATCAAACCCAACTCTTCCATCGCTAGTTTCAGCTGTTAAGAAAGGGGTGCGTTTGCGTATTAGTTGTTGGTTTGTACAGTTGAATTCGAGGAAAGGTACATATTTTTAAATGTAAGGAAAATTATACCCTTATATATTGTCTGCTGTTAAAGCATGGCGAATATGTTGAAAGAGCAGTTTAATTCAGGTCTCTCCCCTCCCCCAACCCCAAAGAGGGCAGAGAGAAATCGCCCTAGCAGGATTTGTTAAACCACACTCAAGATTAATATTTTAATGAAAACAATCGCCATATTTACTTACTTGGAACCTCATTATTTCCCCCTACCAAAATAAATAGGCAGCAGATTTCTGCTGCTCCTTCTCAGTTCTGCTCTGTGCAGGGTTTACCCAGAGCATTTGGTGCTGTGTGAGTGTGAATTGTGAAATATTTTTCAAATTCCGGTGCAAACAAGAACCATCATAATTAGCAGTTCCTTTCATTTTGTTGACTAATAATGAGTGCTCCCAGTTAAATAAAATTTTACTTTTTATTTCTCAACATTAAAAAATATCTGGGTTTCCTGGAAGAAATTTTTCACTTTCTGCATGTTACTGAATTACACTGATATTTGACAATTCACTAAAATTAGTAAAGATGCTCTGGTTTTGTAAATGTTTAATGGGATATCAGATCTGATGCTGTTGATGACCTGCTAATGATTTGTTTCCAGGGGGGCATTCTCAGTGGTGAGAAGATGTATGAAAATCCCTACTGGACAAGAGTATGCTGCCAAAATTATCAACACCAAAAAGCTTTCTGCCAGGGGTGGGTATTTTCAACCATATGTGTGTCAATTTTGTATTCATCATGTTGTTTGTTGGTTTTCTTGTAAGTATAGATCATTAGTTATAATTGAATTTTAGACTTAGTAATAACTATTAATATCAGTATTACATATTGAGATTATTTTTTCCTGAATGCCTCTTGGTGTATGTAGTTTAAAAATAAATGAACAAATATGATTATTATTTAATAAAATTTGATCTGTCTTCTGAGCAGTATGTAAATAATTATCTTGTAGAGCAAATAAATGTCACTTAAGTACATTTTGCTTTTTAAATCCAGGATAAAATAACTTTTAGAAGGATACTGGAATGGAAAAAATTTAAGACATAATTTAAATCATAATTCCCTTTTGCTTTGAGAGGAAAAATAGGTCATAGCTCAGTTGAATCATATATTTTAATTGTAGTTACACTTGAACTTAATTTGTCAAGGTATATTTAACAGTAATGGCTTTGGGAGGAAAAATTTGTGATTGCTATAGTCTAGGAAATTCAACTTGATTTTGATGTTCTGAACGCAGTTTAGACCTGTGCTTGGTCTTATGCACTGAATCTTCACATGGGATCATTTAATATATTTCACACATGCAGTTTATGGCCACAGAGATAACTCATAAAATAGCTGTTGATATAAGCAAAAAGCTTGAAGGAATTCTACGGTCTTTTTGTTTTGTCACACAAAAATACTTACACTAAAATGTTAGGCATTCCAGTTATTGTGGGCATGTGCCTAAAGTATTTCCATAGGAATTTATGGTTTGATGAAATAAAAATTAAAATGAACAAAATAACATAGTGTAAGCCCATCTTAGTACTTACTGACCTGGTTTAAGTAATATGAAAAAAAAATCCATTAGAGTTGGCTTTCCTCATTTAATAGGGCTTTTCAAAACTGTTTTTTTTTTTTTTGGTGTCGAGGATCCAACCTTGCACTTGTGAGACAGGCGCTGGAACCACTGAGCTAAATCCCCAGCCCTCAAAACTGCTTTTTATGAGTATTTTGCTGTCATTGCCTTTGTCCCTTGGTATAATTAGGTTTTTTCATATTTATTGCGAATTCTACTTTTAGCATGTACTTTAGGTTTAGGTTGGCAGTTTATTCAGATAAAGGGTATTTTGTTGTTCTTTCCTTTAGCTGACTTTAATATGATTCTGAGGATGATCTGTATAATAAAGTAACCAGCACCATAGCATCATGGTATGAAAACTACTGAGAACCATGATTTATTATCTTCCTTTCTTAGTCTCTACTGCATAGAAAGGTTTTTTAAAATGATAGGAGGTGCTAAACTGTAAAGATTGTTTGAGAAAAAGGAAAAAACATAAAAATATGTAGTCACCTTTTTTCAGTGATTTGTATTATTTTTTCTTATTGGTACATATTGGGGGGATTATAAGGTCTATTTCAAATCTTTTAGTGGTTTTAAATTTTCTCTCAAATCAGTGTAGTGTTTCAGGTTTACTAACTTCCTTAAATAGAGTTAGCCCTTGTAGTCTACCCAGTTCATAATCTCTACATCAGAATGGCAGAAATGGTCCCTGTTCACATATTTTCTAATCTCTGCTGCCTCTCATCTCAGGAAGGTGAGTCTTTGCAGCCTGGTTTGACTGGTGGAGCTTCTTCCTCACAAGCCCATTTCTTCTTTTTTGGTACTGGGGATTGAACTCAGGACCTTGTGCTTGTGAGGCAGGTGGCAGCACCACTGAGCTAAATCCTGGGCTCACAAGCCCACTTCTTAACCTACTGAGTGCGCTGTTGAAGAATATCATGAATGTTGGAACCCATGGCTTGGGGTCTGAATTCTTTTTTTTGTTTTGGTACTGAAAATCAAGCTCGGGACCTTGCAGTGCAACCACTGAGCTAAACCCCCGGGCCCGCTTGGGGCCTGAATTCTAATTCTCATACTTAGCATCTATGTGATCGTGGACAGTTTGCCTATATTCCCTGAGCCTCATGTTTTTCATTTGTTAAATTGAGGATTTATAGAACCTTTTCTTGTAGAGTTTTTGTGTGAAGTGAGTGAATTAGTACAGTATAGAATATCACCTGCCACACAATATACATTCAGTCAATACTAGCTACTATTATTTTCTGATAGGGTTGTTGAAGTGATCAAATTAGAGTATTTATGTCAAAGAAATTCAACATTTTAAATTTAGTGGAAGATTTGATTTACTGAGAGCTTGATGTGAATCTACTGCTTATTGTATAAATTTGATTCAATCTTTTACCTTTCCTGGATCTGAGGTCATCAGTAAAATGGGAAAAACATACTCATGAGGTCTCAGGGGGTGTTTCACAGATTCAGTGATTTTGTGAGAATCACTTCTTAAATTTTAAAGTGCCATGTCAGTTTTACCTATCATTACCGTATCTGTAAAAATTATAGACCTTTTTCTATGAAATGCTCAACAGCTTTATATTATCATACAACTAGAGCTGGTTATTGAATATATTTTTAATGTATGCATTTATATAATCTATACTGATATTAAATTACAAATTATTCAAGAAAAATGCCATGTTTTAAGTTTTTCACATAACATTCAAAATGTATAACATTGAGGACATAGAAAGGCTCAGAACAGAGTGAGGTAATGAAAATATGGTTGTTAAATTATTTGTAAAGGAGTTCCTTTACTTCTAAGAACAAGCATATACTGACATCTATAAAGTAGTATGTTAAAAGCACATACTTTCAAATGCAAATTTTAAAATCACATTCCCTTCAGGTAATACAATGAGCCAAGAAAATGTTTTTTTCAGAAAAATTTTCAAAAGTGACAAATATATTCAAAGGCAAATGTAGAGTGCAATCAAATGCTTCTTTTTTCTAAGGTACTGATTTTTGGGAGGTGCTTTGGGCATATTTTTTGTGGTGTATACTTTTTTTGTGTGTGGTAGTAGGGATTAAGCCTTCTGCATGCTAGGCAAACACTCTAGTGCTGAGCCCCATCCTCAGCCCTTTTAAAAATTGTATTTTGTGATAGGGTCATGTAAATTGCCCAGGCTAGTCTTGAACTTGCGATCCTTCTGCCTTAGCTTCCCAAGTACAGTACCTGGAATCACAGACATGTGTCACCATGCCCAGGAAAACTTAATTTTTTTGTGCAGCTTTTCATACTATTTGAAATTGTTTGTCTTTGTAAATCCAAGAGTTATAAAGACCAGGCAGTTTCTCCAGCTAAAGTGTTATTTTTTAAATGTAACGTTACAATGAAAAACAAAGGGGCCATATGTTAATAAACTCAGGACTGTGAGGGAATTGGCAAAAATATGGCTATGTTCCTGCACAAATTTGCACATACAACTGTACTGTCACCTAGGGATTTTTCTGTGCTTAGATTTTAATGGGTTTCCAACAGACAGTTTCAGTTGTGTTTCCTCCCAGCTATTAGTCACACACCCCATATTTGGGAGTCTCAGAGTCTATTGAAGAATTTCTTTCCTTTTATATTAGCATGTTCATGCACAGAACATTCATTGCTGGTATTACTGAGCAGGTGGGTAAGTATTCTCAACATGGAGAATCTGGTCTCTTTTTAGAATAAAAAATGTCATAGAAACATCTTAAACATTTGATATTTTATGTGTAAGTTCTGTCTTCTGAAAAGCTAGTTTTTTAGGAATGGAGGGCATATTTAGTAAATGGTGAATAATGACAGCAGATGTTTTGTCTCAGATTTTCACCACAAGAATTAGAAATTACATCATTTTGATCCTGATTAGGTTAGTACTTAATAAATGCCAATTTGTTCTGCAGTACTGTCTTTGCTAATTTGCTTTTTGGACATGTTTAAAAGTATAAATTGTTAGGTTGCATGAAGTCCATCAAGGACCATAAAGTTTATCAGAATCCAGTGAACTGATGAGTCTGGTAGCAGATATCTTTAGAAATAGTTCCTGTGTTTTATTTTGCATTTTAAAGCCTCCCTATGGTAATAATGACAGCTTGACATTCATCTTCCAGTGTACTTCTTGATCTTTAGAAACTGCTCATTATTACATAGTCTGATATGCCACAAGTTGTTTTTGTAAAATATAATTATTACAACATACACTTGAAATACTATGGGCTACAAGTACCTTTTACCTCTACTCCATTGCTAAAGTAAAAAAGTTTTCTTTTATACTACTTTAAAACTTCATCATGTAGTTAAATCATTTTGATTTTTAAAATTTTACTAGTTCTGTTAATTGCTAAATTGGTAGTATTAATAGAACATGAAATCAGGACTTTATAAACGTGCTTGACCATAAGTAATCTATTTATATATCTCTAATTTTTATGTTTTAATAAGGATTTCAAGAATTAATTCTTGCTATTCTTTTTGTTTATTTTTTTGACATCCAGGCAGTTAAGAAATGACTAATTTCTCAACCTTATGGTTACTTGTTTTGAATTGGAAGTAAAATTGAGATTCTATAGATGAATCAAGTTGTACCAATTATACATTATTGATTTGGCAATGTGGAACTAGTTGGGCAAATTAATATTTGAGGGATTCTTGGCTAGAGTAATGGTTTAAGAGACAAATTAGCAAATCATTTTTATTTTTGTACATGGAATCACTGCAATTCTTAAATTACAGGGTCTAGAGTGGCGTGTATCATCTGTTATTTTGTGGCCTTTAATTATGTTTAGTTGTACTTACATTCTTTTTTTTTTTTTTTGGTACTGGGGATTGAACGCAGGACCTTGGGCTTGTGAGGCGCAGGCACCGGAACCACTGAGCTAAATCCCCAGCTTGTACTTACATTCTTACATGGACCTTGAGATTAGACATTTATTTTCTTCTCTTAATTAGTGAGAATATTATAGATGTTCAAAACTAGTTAGAAGGTAAAAATAATAAAAATGTATATCCACATTTCCAGGAAATAATAAAAATCCTTCATGTATTCCAGCATTGTTAAATAGGGGTAACAATAAAGAATGTAGTTGTCAGGTATCTAAATGTGAAATTAATAGTATCAAA